GGTTGAGTGGCCGACAGGCCTGGCTCTCCCAGGCGGGGGTGCAGTGACTGACAGGCCTGGCTCTTCCTGCTGGGGGTGTAGTGACCGACAGGCCTGGCTCTCCCAGTCGGGGGTGCAGTGACTGACAGGCCTGGCTCTTCCTGCTGGGGGTGTAGTGACCGACAGGCCTGGCTCTCCCAGTCGGGGGTGCAGTGACTGACAGGCCTGGCTCTTCCGGCGGGGGGTGTAGTGACCGACAGGCCTGGCTCTCCCAGTCGGGGGTGCAGTGACTGACAGGCCTGGCTCTTCCTGCTGGGGGTGTAGTGACCGACAGGCCTGGCTCTCCCAGTCGGGGGTGCAGTGACCGACAGGCACGGCTCTCCCAGTCGGGGTGCAGTGACCGACAGGCCTGGCTCTCCTGCTGCTCACCCTGTCCCCCTTTAGGACCTGACTCAGACACCTTTTCCCTGTGAAGCGATTTGCACGCCCCAGTCCACTGATTTTCCTCTCCCTAACCTTTTCTGCATGTTCACCGTCAGGGGCCCACAGTTCCTCTGTGCTTTCTGGCTGCCTCAGGTGGGTGCCATTCAGCACACACATGGGAAGGATGTGAAGTGTACCTGGCATCCCGATCAGTGCTGGGATACAAGGTGGACAGTGGTGCCCCAACTGCTTCATGGCTCAGTTCAACAAGTGCTTCCCGACGCCGGGGTACCACGGCTCTGGGTGTAGGTACAGAAACCTGATTCAGACCACCTTAAGCCAAATGTTGCCCCAAATGCAATGGCAAAGATACAGATGGACTTTGGCCATGGAAGAGGGTCTAGAATAATGTAAATTTCTTTTTCTTGGACTCGGCTTTCTTCCCTGGGTTCTACTGAACTCTTCCTCTGAGTGTTACTTGGTAGATTGCCAAGTGCCCTGTAGGACCAAGTCCTCTCCAGCCATGTTTTAGAGTTTCCAAGAAAGGGCCTAGTTGCAATCAGAAGTGTCACGGTCCCCTTGTGCAAAATGACTGCTTCTCTGGGCCCACGTGTGCGTCTGCAGGGTGGGGTGGGCAGGCGAGCATTTGAAGAAAAGCAGGTATCTCTGAGCAGTAGACTACAGGTGCTGAGTACCTGGGCCGTCTTCTAGATCCTGGGAAGACGGAGGTGGAGTTAACCCAGGGGGCAGGCTAGAGTGTGCTGGTACAGAGAGGCCTGGGGCCTGACGGCAGGCAGGAACGGGAGGATCGGCTGTGCTGAGGGAGCAGTCTGCACTGGGGCTGGGGTAGGGTGGGGCGAGCAGGGGGCAGGGCTGAGCAGATGGTGGGAGACGGAAGAACATGGTCTGGGCAGAGCGAGCGAGTGTGAAGGCCGGGCACTAAGGCGGCGTATCCTCACTGACGTGCGTATTTCCTCAAAGTGGGTGACAGAGTCTTTTTTTTTAAGAGAGAGGTTTTTCTTGTTTGTTTGTTTTTTGGGTTTTTTTTTTGCTATAGGGTGCCTGTGCTTGCCAGAGAGACAGATGGCCACACTGCAATCCCTTCTCCTCCATTCTCCCCTTGGGATTTTGAGCACACACGCATACACACCCTGTGTGAGTTTTAAGCCACTGGGCCCAGGACTCAAACTGCAGTTGACTCTGTGGAAGTCCAGCGATGTAACCGTTATGCCATCTGCTGGTCCCATAAAGTGAGGAACAAAGTCTTAACGCAAAGCAAGACCCCTAGAGACCTTGAGGAAATGCTTAGTCTCACAGAGAGCTGGCTCCCTGCTGGCTCCCAGTCCCCCGTAAATCCCCATGAGGTCCTTGGAGCCGCCAGTCGGAGTCTTTCCCAGAGAACCGCATGGAAGAGTAGCCTGGTCAGCGAGAATGACCTGCTGTTACAGGAGGCGGTGACCTTCGGGGATGTGGCCGTGCTCTTCACTCAGGAAGAATGGGGACGCCTGAGCCCTGCCCAGAGGGCCCTGTACAGAGACGTGATGCTGGAAAACTACAGCAACCTGGTCTCGCTGGGTAAGGTGGGGAGCCTCGGGAGGCTCATCTTCCCATGGGCATCTCTTGGAGACCCTTCAGCTGCTACCAGGTAGAGGACGGGGTTGGAAATGGGCCACCTGAGGGTGCAGTCTTCACGGCCCGCCTCTGCAGTGACTTTATCTGATAGGAATGGATGTTGTCCATTTTTGTTTCCCTCAAAAACAGGACTCTTGGGACCCAAACCAGATGTGTTTCCGCAACTGGGAAAAGGAGAAGAACTGATGCCGGGGGGCACTTCGGGAGGCTCCTGTCTTGGTAAGAGGCGTGCTGATGGGAGGCACGGGGGAAGCCCAGCTGTGGGTGGGGTGACGGTCAGCAAATGTACCCGACTGTGAACTGAGAAAGGAGCGTCTTCTCACTTCTCGTCACCTCTGCACCTTGTGGATACAGAACATGCCATTCGGTGGCCACCACTTGTCTCAAAGAGCCCAGTGGGTGTGGCGGCTTAAGGGCAGGGGTGCCTCTTCCCCACACCCCAGGAGTCTAGAGGACTTTCTGCCTTCTCCAAGACATCACCGTTTCATGTAGCATAAACGGTGTAAAATATTTTTCAAAGCTTTTATTATGGGTTTTCATAGTAACCCAGTGAAGTAGGCAGGAGTTTATGTCCACGGTAAGTTACTGCTTGCCTAGAATGTCTAGCACTCAGTCTGCTACAGAACTGTAATAAGTTATGGAATTTAAGTTCCTTAACTCTAAAACTCAGTTATTTAAAAGACTTTTACCACAGTAGCATCCTTAATATTCTCTGATTTTGTTCTATTACAAACAAGCTATCGCATTTTAAAAAATATTTTGTTCTGTAACAGTAACATATAACAAGCAGTGTTATAACAAAAAAGGTGGAGAGATTAAAAGAAATTTATTCACACCCCTACCACTCTGGTATAATACAAGGGGCCTCCAGAGAGTTTATGGAGAATGAGTAGTGTGAAAAAAAGCTATGCATAGATTTCAGCATTTTTTGCAACAACATAATGCATACTTTAATTCTATTTTTCCACAAGCTTTGTGAAGTCCCTTTGTAACTATTAGTATTTCTATTAAATTATTCATTCATTAACACTATTCTTTTGAGAGATTTTTGCTATAGGGTGTGTGTGCTTGCTGTAGAGACAGTGAGAGAGACCGAGAACAGAAAGGGAGAAATCGCCCCCGAGGGGGATGGCCATACCACAATGCCTTCATTACTCTTGTTGGGATCTTGGGCACGCATGGACATGTGCCCCGCGTGAGATTTAAGTCACCAGGTCCAGGACTTGAACCATGGTCAACTATGTGGGAGTCCAGCAACATAACCATTACACTATCTGCTGGTCCCAACGTTAATTCTTTATTCCACTCATTGGAGGAAGGATGAAGATGAGGAATCATGCCCAGCATGATTTGCAAGCCTCTGGGTCCAGGATTTGAACTGTGGTTAGCCAAGTGGGAGTCCAGTGCCTTAACCACGACGCCATCTACTGGCCCCATTAGGCACCCCAACAGGGTCTTCATGCCATGATCCATCCCCAGCCTCAGCCAGTCTCGATCGCAGGCATGTACGTTGCACCCAGCAGGTATAGGGAGGCCTTGAGTGCGAACCCGAGACCTCACGTGGCCTTAGCCTGGCAGAGTGTTTTGTTACACTGTGCCACTGTGGCCGGCCTCATTTCCAGTTTTATCTGCATTTCTTTTCCTCTTAAATTTGCTGGAAATGTTTTTATTACTCCTCATGTAATTTTATTTCTATACTTATCATTTTCCTTTATTTTCTTTGTTTTTCTCATTTGCCAGAGGACATGTACACTCACCAGAGAGAGCTAGGGAGGGAGAGTGAGAGAGCGCCCCATGGGGGATGATCATGCCGTAATCCATTCTTCTCCACTCCCCTCCCTTTTGGGAATTTGGCACGCGAGCCCACAGCCCAGGTTTTTGAGCCGCCGGGTCTGGCACCATCAGCCCGTGAGGAATCCAGCTCAGTGACCATCGAGCCACAGGCTGGTCCTCTCCTTTCAGCTTAAACTTACTTTGACTAATGTACATCGTATGTACAAAACCGAATGTGTAATATTGTTGAGCCTGTCAAGGGTGACAGAGCAGCACGCACAGCCACTATGCAGCCTCAGAAATGGAACATGGGGGAACCAGCAGTTAGCGTAATGGCTATGTCGCTGGACTCCCATGTAGTCGACCGCGGTTTGCATCCCGGACCCGGTGGCTTAAAACTCACGCCGGGTGCGTGTGCGTGCGTGCCCAAGATCCCGAGAGGAGAATGGAGGAGAAGGGATTGCGGCGTGACCATCCCCCCTGGGGGGTGATTTCTCGCTTTCTGTCTCTATGTCTCTCTCTGTCTGTCTGGCGAGCGCACGCGCCCTACAGTGAAAATCTCTCAAAAAAACAAAAAAAACAAACAAACAAAAAAAGAAATGGAACATGGCAGCACATCTGAGACCCAGGCGCCTCCCAGGCTCGCTGCAGGTTATTCCCATGCTGCCAGAGGGAGCACCAGCTCCGCTTCACACTAGTGTCTCGTGCTCACAGGTTTGCCAGACAGCTGCAGCTCAGAGCGCTCATTCCTCTTTGCGTGCTTTGAAACTCGATGTGTATGTATTACCCTAAGATCACCCTTCTGCAGTATGCTCTATCCAAATCCGTCTGGGGCATGTAGCTCCGGGTCATCGTTCAAACCGCACTTTGATATTTCTTCAGTGGCCATGCCTTAACTTACCCGCTACTGCTGACTGACATGTAGACTGTGTTTAGACTTGCTGTTAGGAATAATTCTGACCTGAATGTTCTTGCACATCTTTCCTTTTTTTTTTTTTTGGAGAGGTTTTTGCCATAGGGGGCGTGCGTTCGCCAGAAAGAGAGAGACAGAGAGACAGAAAGCGAGAAATCACCCCCCAGGGGGGGATGGCCACGCCGCAATCCCTTCTCCCCCATTCTCCTCTCAGGATCTTGGGCACGCACGCACATGCGCCCGGCGTGAGTTTTAAGCCACCAGGTCCGGGACGCGAACTGTGGTCGACTACGTGGGAGTTCAGTGACATAGCCATTACGCTAACTGCTGGTTCCATAAGAAACTGTTTTGACACTGTTTTCAAAGTGACCTTTCGTATTTCCATCACAATAGCCATGGGATCCAGGCTTTCTTTTCTTTTTTCCTTCTTTTTCTTTTTAGGTTTTTGCCATAGGGTACATGCACTTTCCAGAGAGAGAGAGAGAAACAGAGAGAGGGAAAGTAAGAAGTCACTCCCCAGGGAGATGGCCATGCCACAGTTCCTTCTCCTCCATTCTCCTCTCAGGATTTTGGGCATGCACACACTTGCGCCCAGAGTAATTCTCAAGCTGCCAAGTCCGGTACTTGAACCATGGTCAGCCACGTGGGAATTCAGCATATTAACCACCATTCCACCTGCTGCCCCCCAGTCCAGGGTTTTTTGTTTTGTTTTGTTTCACTGTAGGACATATGCACTTGCCAGAAAAACAGAGAGAGACAGAGAGACAGAAAGTGAGAAATCACCCCCCAGGGGGGATGGCCATGCCGTAATCCATTCTCCTCCATTCTCTTCTCAGGATTTTGGGCATGCACACACTTGCGCCCAGAGTAATTCTCAAGCTGCCAAGTCCGGTACTTGAACCATGGTCAGCCACGTGGGAATCCAGTGACATAGCCATTACGCTAACTGCTGATCCCAAGTCCAGGTGTTTCTTACTGCACAGTCAGGACCTCCAGAGCAGTGCTGAATAGCAGCTATGAGAGGGGAGTCCTTGCCTGGTCCCCCATCTTAGAAGGGCACTCAGTCCTTCACTGTGAACATGCCAGTAGCCAGAGGTATTTTGTAGAGGCCTTTTGTCAGATTAAGGAAGTTTGTATTCATTGGGGAAGTTTATAGCCATTTCTTTGATGAGAGTTTTATCATAAATGGATACTACATTTTGTCAAATGTTTTTATGAATCCTTAAGGTGGTTGATATAATAAATTACATTAGTTGGTTTTTTAAATGTTTTTTTTTTTTTTTTTTTGGGTTTTTCGCTATAGGGCACGTGCGCTCGCCAGACAGACAGAGAGAGACATAGAGACAGAAAGCGAGAAATCACCCCCCAGGGGGGATGGTCACGCTGCAATCCCTTCTCCTCCATTCTCCTCTCAGGATCTTGGGCATGCACGCACACACGCCCGGCGTGAGTTTTAAGCCACCGGGTCCGGGACACGAACCGCAGTCGACTAAGTGGGAGTCCAGGACATAGCCATTACGCTAACTGCTGGTTCCCTGGATTTAAATGTTGAACCAAATTTGTGTTCCTGAGATAAGCTCAAGTTAGCCTTGATTTATTATCCTCTTTAAACATTGCCAGTTGTAGTCTGCTAACGTTTTGCTAAGGACTTTTGCATGGATGTTCACGCCTGTAGTTTTCTTTCCTTGTTTTATCTTTGTCTCTTGGTATCAGGGTAATGTTAGCCTCACAGAATGAATGAAGAGGTTTCCCCTTGTGTGTCTTTCTTTCTTTCTTTTTTTTTCTTTTGTGTGTGGGGGTGCATTTTGGTAGAATTGGTGCTGTTTTTTCCCTTAAATATTTGGTAGAACCAGGGAAGTCTTCTGGGCAAGGAACAGAGACGGAGCAATGGTTTTGAGCTGCAAATTCCACTTCTGCAGCTTTCTTCTTTTTGCTGGTCCTGGATTTGAGCTGCCTTGGGTTCCGCAAACCCCAGCCTCCC